TAGAGAAACAGAGGGGAGGGGGAGAGGAAAAAACCGGTATTTTTGCGTCGAGCACGGAGGGGTGCATTTCGTTGCGATTATAAAAGCTGGGCAACCCCCGGTGTGTCTAGACGACGTGGCCTCCTATCAAAAACAGACCACCGAACTGAAAAGGCTGAAAGGGCAAGGAACTCCTGACAATGCCAAGAAATTAAAGTTTCTCTGTATATCCACCTATACTCGTCTCCTATGCCTCTCCCTTCTTTCTTTCTCTCTCTTTTTTTTCTCTATATCTGTCTCGTATCCTCCTCGTCGACGTCGTACGTCGGCCCGAGGAAATAACGAGAGAAAGAGATCACTTTGCCGATAAACGCAAACACACAGCAACGGGGAGAGCAACGTACGCGACCAGTTAAAGAGACTCTTGTTTCTCTTTCTTCGTGGCAAATGTTTCGCGAGGATTCGTCGTACCTGTTGGAGTTCGATCGATCCTGTCGCGTACACCTCGATGATCCGCACCCCGAACCTTGGAATTTACGAATCCATCTCGTTGCGTTTTATTCCGTTCCAGAGAAAGGCACACATCGAGGGCAACGTGAAACTATAGCGCATCCGATAGCTACGGCATCGACACAGAAATTCCAAGATTCGTTTCGTGCAGCTCTCGCATGATCGATATTCCGCTGACATGTACTGCATGCTGATCGAAAATTTTCGAATTTCCTGGAATTTTGAGATTTCGGACTCTGAAGAGTTCATAAGTTGTTGAATTCTTATGTTCCTAGATCTCTATAGTCTCTGATTCCTATATCTCTAAACTATACTAAAGACTTCTATTCTTATAAACTCGGATATATGTATCCTTAGACTTATATTTCCAGATTCGTATATTTCTAGGTCTCTATATGTACACTATTATTTCTATATAAGACTCCTACATTCCCAGCCCGTTTGTAGGTCTCCATGTCCCAAATGTAAAGAATTCGGATAATTTAAACATTCCACCTCGTTCAAACTTGAATTTCAAATTCAAACATAACGAATACCGAAATTTCGTCACAGTGCTAGTTCATATAGTAACTGTAACCAAGAATTAACCAGACGACCGGTAAACATGACGGCATTGTTACAGAGTGAAAAGAAGGATTCATTGATACCCGAGAAACGTCCGACCCGCTGGCTGTCACAGCCAGTCACCGAATCATTTGCATAATCGCGACTGATTACTATCGCTTCACCGTGACTCCCGTAGCCATTGCCATATGTTAGACATCGAAAAATTCAGCGAACGTTTCGACCAACCGCGTTCCAACGACCAACTTGAAACACGGATGATGTCTTCTCTCTAACCGAGAAAGAGAGAGAGCGAGAGAAAGAATCATTGTTATCGAATCACATTTCGAAATGAATCAAATTCCTAATCCGCCTCTCCGTTCGGGGAAATCTGTTTTCGCGGAAACATGAGTTGGAACGATCATGACACGAAGGTCATATGAAAAAGATGGAATTCAAGGCGCGTTAAGTCGAGTGGATAATCAACAGATCGGAAGTGTGAATCAGGAAGCGGTGTGTCACGTGCTGCCTTTTGCACGTCATCAAATAGGATACGTGAGCCATGAATCGCAAAAGGATTACTCACGTAAAAGGAACTTGCACGATCGAGCTTCGCAACGCTTCAATTTAATAACTGCATAAAACTGCGATATAACGCGCGGTAATACTCGATGAAATAACGCGTGACGATACCTCCCGTAAGAATATAATCGGACAATTTCATGCAAGAAGAGACAATACCACGCGTGGAAATACAATCGAACGGCGATATAACGCGAGAAAATACCATGCGTGGAAATACTATCGAACGGTGATATAACGCAAGACAATACCACGCGTGGAAGTACAGTCGAATGGCGATATAACGCGAGACAATACCACGCGTGGAAATACAATCGAACGGCGATATAACGCGAAATAATACCACGCGTGGGAATACAATCGAATGGCGATATAATACGAAATAATACCACGCGTGGGAATACAATCGAATGGCGATATAACGCGAGAAAATACCATGCGTGGAAATACAATCGAACGGCGATATAACGCGAGAAAATACCATGCGTGGAAATACTATCGAACGGTGATATAACGCAAGACAATACCACGCGTGGAAGTACAGTCGAATGGCGATATAACGCGAGACAATACCACGCGTGGAAATACAATCGAACGGCGATATAACGCGAGATAATACCACGCGTGGAAATACAATTGAACGGCGATATAACGCGAGGCAATACCACGCGTAAAAATATAACCACCGAGTGATATAACAAATTTGCACTGGTAGTAGTGTCAATACCACGCGTGGAAGTACAATCGAACGGCGATATAACGCGAGACAATACCACAGCCACCGAGCGATATAACAAATGTCTACTAATAGTGTCAATACGAGTGGCAATACAACGTAGAAATGTAATGCACGATAATCTATGATATGGCAATATAACGCATGGTGATTCAACGCATGACTAATACAACGCGAGGAAAATGCCTTGCAAGTAGTAAATCCAAAGCGTGGCGATATAACGCGTGGATTTTACCGAAAGAATTGATGGATTTATTGAAATGTAACATTTAGTGGAACACGTGTTACCAATGATTTCGAATAACGAAAAATCAAACGGTTCCGTAAATCACATAAGTCAGCGAATAAATGGAACTTATTGAATTGGTGAGGTCGATAAGAAGATTCTACGAATCGATCGTTGGAATTCAATCGTCGACAGAAATTCGTGGTGCCCGAGGAGCTCCGAACCGAATCGGGTCGTTGGCTCGTGGATCGAAAGGGCACAGGCTCAAATATTTTTCTATCTGTTCGTGCTTGGAAATATAAGTAAGCCAAGCTGATAAACGACCTCTGGAATGTTAGATAAAGTCGATTAGGGCCAACTACGAGTTAGTTAGCAGCAACAGTTGGTGAGGGTGTTGATATGTGTGAGAACGAGAAAGAAAGAAAGAAAGAAACGAAGGTGGATGCCCCATATACGTAGAGCGTCGACTTTATCGGCTTCACCAGGGTCCAGCCATACTCCGATAACAGTTCACGCGTTATATTCTTTATGAATAAACGTAGAATGATCCAATCATGAGTTGTCGTCGATAAATCGCGTATCGATCGAGAACGAGATACGCGGTCGATTCGATATCTACGAAGAACTTCCGTATTTCGAACCAATGGTTAGAAACTTAGGAATCTTACGAGATATGCTCTATCGAGAGCTAATAATCTGGTTCAGTTTTGTATACGATAGATGGCAGTAGTAAATAGATGGTAGTCGAAGAAAGATCAGTAACCCCGATAGGCGAATAACCGCGCATTAACTCTTTGTTTATTTCGCTACTACGAAACAATGTTTCTTTCATTCGATTCGGATGCTTTTTAAATGATTCACGGATACGAAGATGTACTATTCTTAATACTTGGAACTTTCGCATTTGAAAAATCGATGTTTCTGCATTTCGAAATTATCAAATTTTCCAACTTCTAAATTTTCTACTTAAATTTTTTAATTTATAAATTTCTCGATCTTCCAATTTCTACATTTATAAACTATCCACATTTCCGAATATTTAAGTTAAAAGTTTGAAATCGTCTGGAATGGGTAGAAATGTTCGAAATTGTACCTTGTCCCATATCTTCATACTAATGGCAGTCAGCCATTCGGCGGGTACTTATCTAGTGTCGATTTAAAATATTATTCATATTCGTAAGACAATAGACTTGGTTGATTGTTGTAGTATGTCGTCACTCGTAAATTGAGTATGGAGGTCGGAATATAAATGGTAGAGAAACATCGGAAAACATATGGGCATTTCGATCCAACAGACGAAAGCAATGAAAACCCGTAGAAACAATAGAGGAGTACGGAAAGCGACCGCGTGCCCTTTTTCTGTTTTCTTCTTTTTTCAGCGTGCAGTCGAGGTAAACACAGCGCGGCACGTTTCGTGGCGCCCCCTAACCGATAAAACGCCATCGAAGCATTCTCATGCCTTGTGAGTCGCGCATGTGAGAATCACGGCGTGACATACGGCTTGCAGTCGAATTGCAACGTGACATCCGTTCAAATGGTATCGGAACTATGTGGTCGTGGATGATAATAAAGTTGCTGACTCGGTCTAACCTGACAGGTCTAGCAAGGTGTAACGTATTTAAAACGGACACGAGTTTACGACCACGCCACCGCCACGCACGCCAGACACTAGCATGCTTCGATGGTGGGGCCACTGTGCCGAACGACCAACCCCTTCCGCGCACGTTTACAACCGTCAATAATGTATTTCTTTGTCAGTACTCACCTTCGTCTGAATCGTCCAGTCCTTCTTTCAGGTTGTAGAATATATCTGAAACCCACAAACACCACGGGTTAGCTGAATATCCCTCGTGTTTTCGAGCAGCTTCGTTCGATCCACAGGCACTCACTCACCCGCCATGTTGTAACAAACTGTAGCGCACTCTCATGGCCTCTCATTTAACTTTCCATAATCGAGAGATCGTTCTTTAATGTACACGGATATATCGATATATCAACCATTTATTTTCAAATTGACCCAATATTTTATAGAGTATCCAATTCAGACAGCATTTTCAAACTCTAAATCTTACGCAACATAAGAAACAGAATTAGGCACATTTTGTTGAAGCACGATGAACAATGTTCATTTCAAATACTTTCAAATTAATTTTCTTCTACAGACAATAACAAAATTTTACTTTATGGTATTTCAAATAAATAGTATATATGAAAAATACACAAGAATATAATTATAAAGATATAGAAATTACTAATAAAAAACAATGTAAGTTCATGTTAAATAAAATTAAACAGACACAATATGAATCAATATTACTATAAGGATTGTAAAAAGACTGCATATAAAAGGGTTGTATGTGAATAATTTCTAAAATGTTATAGCACAATAATTTTGTTTAATAGATGGATTCAAAAAATAGAGAATACGATGTAAGTTATATATTTAATACATAGATTGGTACCTTAAGTAATAGGAAAGGTTGCGAATGAAAATCGGTAGTTCATAGAAAAGTTTAGCAAAATTATACATGTAACATATAATATGAGCTTATATATGCACCTTTTTCTTTTGTATACACTACATGATATCGTTATTTTACAATCCCCTTAAAATCAACCTTATATTATAGCACAAATTCAGTTACTTCCTTGCCAATACTGACAAGCACAGGTAACTGCAGACTTTCATAAGTTAAGAGAGAAGAATTTCAAATTCGTGGACAAAATAGTTTTATATATTCGTGAACCAGTCACAAATATTAAATTGGAAATGTACAACATACAGTGATAGCAATTTAAGTGTAAACTGTAAACATTATTCTTCGTTTTAATGTCTACTATATAAAAAAAATATTTTAATTTTGCTATTTTATTTTAAATATCTAATTAAATGCAAATTGTTTCTAGGCGGAACCTAGAAAAAATAATTCGCACAGCCGATGAACGTAAAATGATATTTTTCTGTAAAGTGAATTTCGAATATGATAATTCGTATATCACATCTACATATTTCAAAGCAATATTTAGAATGGTACATATTAGAAGCATGACACATATAAATGTGACTTTGTTTTCTGTAATTGATTCATAGTTCTCTCGACTGAAAATACTGTATTCTAAGAAAACAAATGCACAGAATAATATAATTATATCCCACATGTGATACGCATGATATTGTACAATTGTGATTATCTCGCGACAGTTCCTGAGAGTTGTGTAATATAAGTAGGGTAGTGGAAGAGTATTAAAAAATGATGGTGTACTTGTGTGGTGTCATGTGTTATCAAGAGCTACTTCTTCAATTGTAGCCCTGCACATCGGACACTCTACCAACTGATACGAACACGTCGGGCAAAATCCTCTGAAAAAATTTTTATATTCAATATTGGTTAGTTAACAAAAATGCAGATAACTAAATACAGATTAGATAAAACTTTTACGTGTATTACCTATGATTGCACGGTAACAATCTCACTGAAGCTCTTTGGTCAAAACACAATGTACACGAATCCTCTCTAACACTAAGCTTTCTCAGTTGATCTAAATATATGTGTCTAGGAAGCACAACCTTATCTTCAGGCTTCAACGAAGCAAAATCATTAAACTTCTTATATTCGCGATCAGTAGGGGGATATTTGAAAGGTACATTTCCAAAGTTGAAAAGGCATTGTTGGAATGACATGAAACTCGCCGCTGCAAAAAATCCTGCCCTAAAACGTATACATCACGTATTGATAATTTTTAATATTTTAAACTAAATATTCCTTTAAAATATACGAATAGAAATGTACCTCACAGTTTTAAAAACTTGTACACAAGGTTTAAGTGGTACACCATTTATGGAGAATATTATTTCTAATTTGTTTAAATCTAATAAACAACCCAAAATATCTCCAGCCTTCCAACATGGTCTTTCGTGATATTTTTCGCTTTTTGCATTGTACCAGATTAGTCTACGACAACCATCATAAGCTAAAGAATATTCATCATCTCCTATACCATATCCTTCCTAAAATGATAAATAAAAATAAACAAAACTATAAGTTGATATTACGTGTATTAAATGGAAAAAAAATGCTTGCATGATTTAAGAACGTGCTGTTCTTTGTTGCCCAACCAATTTGCATTACACCTGTAGTTATGACAAGTGCTTCATAATACCAAATTCCTGAATCTACTTGAAACGTACACCGTACACTTTCAAATGAATATGCGTCGCACCGGGCCTGAAATTATGACACGAATATACGAGCATCTTTTAACAAAATATACATTACTCTTAACAAACTCACCTCTAAACCATTAGGTGATATTTTCAGGTACTCACTTACATCTTTTGTGTTTAACATAACATTAATACCAGTCATATCAACTGAATCGTGAGAATATTTCCTACCTTCCATTAAAACTGAAATTATAAAAATAGATACAAATTAATGATTTAGGCAACAAATTTGTTTAGTCACATGTGTTAACACTTACATAAGTTATCTAAACACCATTGTGCACAGAAACCTACTTGTCTACGCACATAGTGAGTTTCTGTTGCCCATTTTTCCAGTTCTAATAGTGGATTTGGCTTTTCTGCCATCAGACGTTTTTTAATAGTTACTTTATTTTCACCTAAAAGAATAATATAAACATTACATTCGATTTAAATTTGATTAGCATTGAGATCACAACTGCACAAATCATTATGATAAAAAACTTACTTGTCTGTGCAAATTTTTCCAAAGCTATCAGTGAATATAGTACGACATAAGGATCAATATCTTCCCTCTAAAATAATGTATAAAGTACTAGTGAAAATAAGGTTCCAGCAGGCAGATTTTACATGTTATATTTAGAGTCATAAGGTTGATGAAACTTACAAGGTTTGAAATAAGATAATCCAAAGTTGCCTCAGATAGTACAGCAATACTACTTGGACCAGCTAGTTTCTCTGCTATACAACCCAATACCACACAAATGTTACGCTGTTGAGTTGCACTAGTTTGTACACTTCCAAGTTTTTGGGATAATTGAAACATATGGGACAATCGTAGAACTGATTCCTAACATAATTAAAATGACATTATAATCTAATCAACCAGAATTGAAGTATAGGTATACCTTTGAAGGTAGTGGACAATCATCCAATAAAAGAGTAATAACTGAAGGACCTAATGGGTTATGCATAGGAATAACATTAACCATAGAACTGACAACTTGTATCCACCCATCTTCTTTATCAGCAATTGCATGTAATTTTAACATTGCTGGTGGTGGCTCTTGCTCACTGAATATATATAACAATAACCAATTAATATATTTATAAATTGTGTACAATTTTATAATACTTACTTATCAACAAGAGAACCAATAACTCCAAGAGATTCAAGAACTAATTTATCAATGTTGGCTGAAGTTGGAAATTTGAAAGGGGTAGAAGTTACATCACCAGATGCAGCTGTGCCTACACTTGATTCTGGTAATACAGTATTTTCAATCTCTGCATGATTTTGCCCACTATATACATCAAGATCTTCTGGTGTATCTTTACACAAACAATTACCCATTCCCACAATTTTATAAGAGATACTTTTCAAGATATTCTATATATGTTATCTAAGTGATATTTACACAATTGAGTGACATGTGTAATTGTTGTGTCCAGTTTAACTGAAAATAATATTTCAAAGATGTCAAATCATATGCATACATTTGGTCTTAACGTTAAAATATTGTATATGTGTTAAACTTTACTGTGATACCTACTAAAAATATACTGGGAAAATCATGCTCCTTCATTACAATTAATTGTAATTATTATTCATATTCTGGTATGATTTTCTTTTTACTCCTTTTAAATACATAGATAAATGCAATTTAAATAAAAGTATGAAGATAAACAGAAATCAATTATGATAGTATATTTATTGAGGTAGCCCGTCTGTAACTGAATAAAGATTAATGGCAAATGTTTTCACAATTTATTTGGCTAATCATGGATATGGCATACTTGCTTGAAAGCTGTCATTTGGTTATGTTTTTATAGAGTTGAAAAGGTGCTGTTTGATACTTTATCAATTATTTGTTCAATCACATGTTTGATGAGACTATTCACAAAATTATATTCATTTCATTTTTTTGCGATAAAACGAAAATCCAAACGTAATTATACTCATCAAATGGTACTTTTTAGGTTATGTTCTCAATAATCTTCAAAACAGTAATCTCAGCATAACAGGATACGCACACTACACTATCTTCACATGAGGTGACCAATTCTAAATCAAATATAAGATACGACTTTCTATACTTATAGATACACTGAATCTTTTTACCTTTCATTTAATTATGATCTTCCGCTTCAGTTTTTCAATTTGTAAAAAATTTCCATCATACGAATATGTTTATATAATAATAAATAACTTTTAGTGATTGTTTTAAACTAAAATTTTTGAAAACTTTCTCGGAAAATTAAAATTCATTTGAAGTAAGAGACAGAAATACTTTTCACCAATATTGTTTTGTAGTATTTTTGTTTTTATTTTCTATTTAGGTATTGTGTTATATTTTATTGTGAAGTTAAATCTTTCATATGAAACGTATCAACTTATAAAATTTAGGAGGATAATGATGTAGTAAATTCAAAGGTATAATAATTTACAGAAATACAACAGTATGACATGATATTAACAGAATTATGACATTAAAATGTATTCATTTGAAGAGGAGCCGCCATATCGAAGGATAATCAGCGTTAAAGCGATAATGCATATCGAAAAGTCGAAATCGCAAGGCAGTCGCGGTCCGTCTGGTACTTTCAAGACGAATTTCATCATCAAAGACGGATCTTTAGCCGTTTTCAAATATTATAAAAATAACATTGTATTAGACTGTCTGTCACCTGTGAATTTAAAATTGTACCTCGAACCAATAAATACTTCGATGAAAATCGTTGAATGGCCCTTTTTATAGACCTGCGATGCGATCACGTGGGGAAGGCGAGAGAATGTCAACGATCAATAGTATTACGAAAATGAATTGGTGATTCGTACGTTGGAAAATTTTGTGCACAACATGGGGTGTAGGGACGACGAAAAGTTGCTGCCCGAGCCGGAGAATTACGTGAAACGTTTTTATGATCTCTTTAAAAGCATCGCCGAGGCACAGAGGTGCGGAATGTGTATAACCTCCCTCAAGCTTTGTTTACTTGACGCTTTTGGCGGTGACTTCATCTGTCATTTATCAAACTTATCAATTAAGATAAAAATCCCGATAAGTTATTCTTATTTTCATCAAATATGTTGATCTATGTCATATTTTTATACAAATATCTGATATTTCTTTAAATGTTTCGAATTAACCTAAAAAAAAGTTTGTTTATTAGAGTTGTCACTTTGACAGTTCTCATGTAAAATGAGATCACATTGTTTTAAAAACAATCTGCGATTGACATTTTCATTATTTTTATGAATTAAATGATAATCTATGAAATTAGCAATCGAATTTATTTTATTTAAGTTAGTTATTAATGAAAATGAGGATGTAATATTCATTTGTAAATAAAAAATATTTTTATTATTATAATCATTATTTTTTCAAGTCCAAATATACTATATTGTTTTAAAAAATTTTTTTGTACTCTTTTTTTTAACATATCGTTGAAACTTGTATGTTAGAGTGTACATTTTAATTTTCAGAAATAAGGAAGAATGGAGAAAATGTAAAAAAAGTAAATCTATACGTAAACGGGATAAGAAGAAGGTATTGGCAGTTTTTGTTTTCGCAAATTTTGTAATGATTACAGTTCATTATATACATTCCGTTGGTTTCCAGATTGATTTAAGTGGAGATTTAAATTACAATAATCCACCAGAAATAGAATTACCTTGCAATGCTTCTGCATTTGCTGTATTTGCTAGTGTTAGAAGTGCTATTTTGGAAAAATATGCTAGAACAACAAATGAAGTTTATAGAGTATCAAATTGTAATTCTCCACCACCACCGGAACATAGTGAAACTATGGATACAGACAGTGAGGATGAAGATAGGATATCAACTATACAGAGTTTACCAAAGGTAACATGCAAAAATATATGGAATACATATGTAAAGAATTATATTAAAATTAAAATGTTTTTAGATTGTAGGCATTGGTTTGCGAAGCGTTTTCACATTGATGAGAGAAAGTAGAATAATTGAACCTCTTTTGTGTATAAAAGCATTGTCAGCTTTATTGGATATATTACAAGGACAACTCCCTGAAGGCCTGAAGTCTGAACCCGATGATGTTATTGGTTAATATAAAACCATCTCTAGTTGTTTACTAGTACATGTAAAAATGTGTGTCTTATGTTTACAACCTTTTTATTTTCTTCCAGACCCACTTTTTGATCTGCTGTTGGACTTTGCAACTTCACATGGTCCAGAATCAGCAGCTGCTAATGATGGTAGTCATTTGACTGCAATTGCTTGTGCATGTTTACTCAGTCTTGTGGTTGTGAGAGGTGATACTGGTCGCCTGTTGGTAGCTATAGCTGCTTTACTCATGTGTCCTAGAGCACTAGCAGTTCAAAATATTCAAGTAAACGTTATATCTAATTAATATTAAACCTTGTAATAGTTCTGATATTCCAAGTTACAATTTATATGTTGTAGATGCCATGTGTATTAACATCCTTACAAAGAAGTGTGCAAGCTGTGTTACTCGGAAAACTTATACGGCCAGACTGGATTACATATGGAGTTCCTAAAAGTTCTAAAATTTATACTTCTACGCTTAAGTTACCAAATGAGATAAATAATATAACACTAAATGGACGAAGTTTCGTGAGTGATGGAAAGTACCTGTACCTACACACAAGTAGAGGATTATTAAAAATTGGTAGTGGTCATGGTGGAACCATTTGGGGTCATCTGTATATTCACAAGGCAGATTTTTATCCGACAGAAACGGGTTGGCTCGGCTATGCAAATGTTAGTGGGATTAAACATTGATTTCTCACGTAGAAATATAGGGATATCGTCGTCCTAACATTAAATCTTTTCCAGAATACATTATATTTTAAATGCACACCCAGGAAACAGAGCGAGTTGCTAATCATTGATGCGGAAACTCTTGTAGTCACAGGAATTGCAGTTCTAGAAGGCCGTGACTGGTCATCGTCGGTCATGTTTTCTGATGGCGAATGTTTAGGAATGATAACAGCGGGAAAAGATGTTAGTTATTATTACTTTTAATTTCTTGAAACTTGTAATGCTTCAACGACTGATACAAATTTTTATCTTCAATTTAAACAGGATGGTTTTGTAGTCAGAACTATAAATACGTTAAGCAATCCAGTTGCAGTTGCATCCGAATTACCATTAAAATTAGCCAGAAAATGTGTAGATGTTTTTGGATATTCTACTTTTGATGAAGAACAAGCTATCCATACATTAAATCCAGGCTGTGATGACGAAATTGCTATAGTCACTGCAGGAAAAGAATTTGGTCTATTAAAAACTGTGTCCGGAAAGGTAAGTGATTACCCGTTTCCCAACGTGTAATCGTTTATATTAAAATAAGAGTATATTGTATAAATGGTATGTATTCAAGGTATTATACACTGGAAAGGGTACTTGTCTTGGTATGAAAAGTAATACAAGGCCTAATAGATGGGTAGAATTAACACTTGGAAAAGGACCAAGGCTTGTAAATTTTGCAGCTGGTCATGATGGTCAGCACGCTGTTATGATCATGGAAGATGGTTCTGTTTTGTTTGCTGGAACTGCTAGACGCGGAGAAGATGGCGATAGTAGTTAGTACATCTGTGCTAAACATTTGTAATACAACATAATTAAACATTTTTTATCAAATTAACAATTTCAGATAAAATTCGCCGACAACCTAAGCCAGTTAAACCAAAAAAGATAGCAAAAGTAGAAGGACAGTTTATCATTGATGCCGCCTGTAATAATGGATCGACAGCATTAGTTACTAAAGAGGGCTCTTTGTTAATGTTTGGCAAAGATACCTTGCACAGTGATCCGGTTTCAGGAGTAGTTACCGATCTCAGAGATGTCTGTGTGGTTCACGTTTCATTGGGGAAAGCTCATGCCGCAGTATTAACTAACAAGGGTCATTTGTACACATTTGGAATTAACAATAAGGGACAGTGTGGTAGAGATTTCACAACAGTGCATACCGTAAATAAGGATGTCTCAGTTGTAGCTATGGAGATGGGTACAGCGGATGATGAACTTTTAGTGACAGAAGAAGGTAATCATGTGTGGTAGAATTTTAATTCTCTATTATCATAAAAAATCAAAATATTTTTAATTACATGTAGACGGCATAGAACCGACTGAGGATTGGGAAGAAACAAGGGGAATGTGTCCGCCGGGATTACATCAATGGAGGCATCGTGTTTGTATGGTCTGTACGGTGTGCCGAGAATGTACAGGTTGCAGCATATCATGTTTGAGCAGTATACGGCCGAATCGAAACCCTGGGCAGTACGTATTTAAAGTAATTATTGTGTAGTAGAAGCGACTAAAAATATGCACTTTCAGGGAATGTGGTTGTGGTAAAGGTGACAGTGGTTGTGCCGAATGTGGATGTTGTCGAACATGCGCAAGAAAAGGTTGTACCAATGGTAAAAATTTAATTATAAATTATTATGCTAGGACTATTCATGATCATTTTCACAAATATTTATGTTGCATTTTAGGTAGATCAAGTTCTAATTTACGAGAATACTTACAAAGACGGCTAGGAGAAATTAAGCAAAAACAAAAAACCAAAGCAGGTCCAAGCGCGGCAAAGTACGGGATGAAGATGAAAGGTCCGAATAATCAAAGATTGGGTAGATGTCTTCATAAAATAAATATGCTTTGTATATACAGTTTTAAAATTAAGTTAAGTTATATAACACTTAATTTAACATTAATCTTCGTGTAAAATAGCTGGCCCAAGCGTGATACAAAAAAGTACCGGGAAAACTGCACTGGGGTTGGGTACTAACTTGATGACCGAAGAAGGTATCGGAGGAAGCGATATCGAACGAGGTGACGCGACAAGAATTGCTAGTATACCACCTGCTAGGGTTCCCATACCTAGCGAAAGTGCTGTGGTCCAAGTGTCATGTGGGTTACATCATACAGGTAATGTATATAAATTTGAATGATATTTTTTTATTCGTAACACGATGGACATCAGTAATAGTGTGCTATGTACTGTGTACAGTGGTGCTCTTACAAAACGGAGAAGTTTATACATTTGGGAGCAATATATATGGTCAGCTGGGTGTAGGAGACTTGATACCGCATGCTGGACTTGTTCACGTTAAATTACCAAGAATAGCAACACAAGTTGCGGCCGGAAGTAATCATACTGTCGTACTTACTTCGAAAGGAGAAGTATTCACATTTGGAGCTTATCAAGTTTGTATTACTATCATAGTTTATTTACCATAGGAATGTAATTATGACATTCTTATGCGTGCATCTCTTATATTCAGAAAGGACAGTTGGGCATGAATTGGTGGAATGAACAAAATGACTCTTCAAATACTACTTCTCAAACTAGCCGTCGTACAGATAGGACACAGCCGTGGCACAGTTTTCCGAATGTAGTTCCAAATATTGGTCCACGATGGGGTAGACGTGCAACGTGGGTCGGTGCAAGTGGAGATCAAACTTATGTCAAAATTGATGAAATAAATTTTATTAGTTTAACAAGGAGTACTGTTATGGCAAATAAAAACTGCATAAGTATGTCCTCCTTTCGTATATCATCGTTCCATCACTGTTACATTAACAAGCTTACCTAATTCTAAAACAAATTGTTTCAGTTTTAATTCCACATCAAACTGATCACGCTAATTCGTTCAAATGCTTAGTTATAAGTAAACGAGACGGCACTTGTAATAGTTACAGTGGAGCGGATCAAGTTGACTTCAGTAATTGTGCAACGTGTTTAGATCCTTTGTATAACGTTATTTGGACTTTTAATCCGATAAATAATGAAATAAGCCTATATAATATTATATCGACGGAAGCTAGAACAATTCCTGGTTTGGAAGTATCCATTTTGAATCCAGGCTTAGCACTGCCTGTAGTATCAAATTGTTTTGTAACGCGTTCGCAAGCTGCCATGCATTTGTTGGGCTGTTTGGATACTCTTACACAAGCACAAGATGAAAATTTGTCTATAGTAGAAGAAAATGAATGTAATCAATCGACACACGGAAAAGCATATAGTCGTGAAGATTTTGTTACAGTTAACAGATTTGAAAGTATGTACAAGAAGGTGACCAAAAATGGTACATATTTTTATTTCTTTCATTGTCACATTTCATATATTTTCAGCACATGGTGGTGGTTGGGGTTACTCGGCACATTCGATCGAAGCTATCAGATTTATGCCTGATACCGATATCTTACTTGGCGGATACGGATTGTTCGGTGGCCGAGGAGAATATACTGCGAAAATAAAAGTAATTCTTGTTACTTGTTTAATTTGTAGCAAATCGTAGAAAATAGCTGTAAAAATTATGCCACAAATCATTGCAGCTTTTCGATATTGGAACGGATGGAGGAGATCAAGAAAACGATGGTGAACTTTTAGCCGAATCAGAGGAAATACCATACGAATGTGGATTAAAACAAACATATTCCATTTTATTCGATGAACCAATTGCTCTGCAAGCTAACAGGTGGTACGTCGCATGGACAAAAGTTAGCGGGCCTTCTAGTGATTGTGGAAATGGTGGTCAAAGCATGGTTGCGGCAAAAAATCAGTTAGTAGAAACCAAATAATTTTTAAGAAATAATAATTTGAAATATCTGTCACATATTTATATTTTTTGCTTTTAGAGTTATGTTCTACTTTAAGTCTTCTAAAAGATCTAATAACGGAACGGATGTGAATGCTGGACAAATTCCGCAGTTGTTGTATCGTATTGTTACACCAGAAAATCAAACTCCTAACAGACAAAGAGACCAAATCGAGCCGGTTTATGTATTAAAGCGCGACTTCTCTAGAACAGTTACTAAAGTATGTATTTTTTTATAAAATAAGCTTAAAGATTAACATGTAAAGAAATTTTTGTTTAATATATATTTTTTTTAGGATTGTTTTCAGTCACTAATATCTCTTCTTCAATGGAGCTGGAATACGCTAAAAGCAGCCTTAAATGATTCTATGATTCATGCTATTTCTTCTCACACGTTAGTTGAAATGGAACGTTTGGTTTATATTAGTAAAGCTAGTCTACGGTTACTCAGAACATATACTAATCACATTTATCCCAATCAAGGTACGTATCAAATTTTACTTTAAATACTAGATTGCATTTAAACGTAATGCTAATTTGTAGTTGGCAAGAAAACCCCGGCTGAATCGGTGCGCTTAGCAGAATGCATTGGAGAAGTACGCGCCTTGTTGCACCAAATTTTATCTGATACGGTACCGTCGACTACAAAGAGTAAAGGAAAAACGCGACCAAATAAAAGTAAGACTTTGCGTTAGTTAACATGTTCAATATAAAATTCTCTATATAATAGCACATAAAATGTTTCATTACATAGATACAGCTACAATAAATAATAAGCTAACAAACAGCATATTGGACGAATGTCATAGAACATTTGTAGCTTGTTATCATGCGTTTTACCCGACAGCATATTTAAAGTGGACCTGCCTGTGTGAATTGTTGTCAGAAATTGATAGGGTTAGTATTGCGTTATTGTATAATTCATTCATTTCGAAATCTACCAATTCATCAAAATATGTATATTACTTTACAGGAACAAGGAAGATCTTCAAAAGATCGTCTATTGTCAGCCGTTCTGGCTTCCTTGTGTAATCCAGCCATTCGTCTCCGTTGTACATTTCCAATTCTGACTAACATTATGGATAGTAGCGATAGCATCAAACGGCAGCTTAGTCCATCCGACAATACTGGCTTGTTGATGATCAATTCAACAGAAAGCCATCAGTATCCAATTTTAGTCGAACAAATTAGTTATAAATCACAAGTGGAAAGCTCGGGTAAAGAGGCCTTAAATTGGTCGTTTCGCGATGTTCTCGATAGACTGTTAGATTTGATTCTAGTCCCCGTGAAGAAAACTCTTTGTAGGGAAAAGACACAATCGGTACCAGAATTGGTGCTTCATTGTTGTTATTTGTTAGCGCGGGTGATCGCTGAATTGGCGGCACAATCTAGTGGAAACGAAGTTGAACTTCAAGCTGCCTGTGGTATGCTTATGTATACCACACCTTCCAGATTTACTCGAGTAAATCAAACGAGATCTTGGAATACGGGTAATGGGTCTCCTGATGCGATCTGTTTTTCGGTCGATAGACCCGGTATCGTTATTGCTGGTGTAGGTATTTACGGAGGTATTGGGATGTATGACTATGAATTGGAGCTTCTTGATGACGTGAGTAAACGTAGCCAGAAACTTCATCCATGTCTTCCTTGCATTATAATAACAGTTATATTACATTTTACAGCAAAATAATACGGGCAATGATCCGTCTCATACTCAACGTTGGAGTAGTTTGGATTTTACACGCGGTTCTTTTGGACCGGATGATTGCGTGAACGACATAGTAGAATTAAAATTTGATAAGCCTGTGCTCATTAAGGAAAATGTAAAGTACGCTATTAGACTGAGAAATCGTGGCGGTCGTACAAGTAATGGTGATGGTGGTTTGAGTGTCGTTAAAGGTCCCGATGGAACTACCTTTACTTTCACAGCTTGTTCTTTAAGTTTCAATGGTATGTGACTCAGTTGATGCAATTAGAAGTCTTGTTTAGGGTGGGCATGAACTCTAACTTCACTAATGGTGTCAAGATTAGATATATCACATGATCAAATGTGTTTTGAAAGTTTAGAGATTTCAAAATCTGTAACCTAGAAAATTTCTCAATTTTTAATATGAGATATGAGGGTGCAGGCCCACCTACCAAGTTACGCTGGTGCATAATTGAAAGATATTTTCAATTGATTCTTTATGCAGGTACAACACAAACTAGAGGTCAAATACCTCATATCCTTTATTATTCAAACCCTCAAGATTCTGATGGTCAACATACTAGCAAAGCAATGGCTGAAGTTCAAGCGAGGAAGTGTACCCTTGCCATGACAACCACCGTTATTCAAAGGTCTAACGAAATACTTGCATTAGCGAGAGAGAGGGCCGAAGAAGTGGTAGCCGCCGAAGTTCTAGGCAATGCAACATTTATAACGACGCTTTTACCGTTGGTCATGGCGTACATTAGTCCCCTGGCTACCTCAGATCCTAGGGTAGATACTCATGTCCTTAATAATTATCAATATTATATTCAGTCGTTACAAACTATTTTCTTTCCCAGAGCGGAGTTCAAGTTCTCACATTGATACAAGAAATGCTTCCCCACGTCTCGGCACTTAACTTATTATCCGCAATGGGATCATCTCAAATATCTCAAGACAGCGAGGCTCAGTCTCACGTTTCTCCACCCATTACTACTAGTCATCATTATACTTGGTTGGAAAGCGACCATCCCTACAAACCCTCCACAGTATCTCATTATAAAGTTGCCTTTCCGGATACAGTTAAGTGGTTAACTATTGAATTCACACCAGAGTGCGGTACAGCACAGCCTGAAGATTATTTACAACTCTACATTCCAAATATAATTTCATCCGCGAGGTAAGCACGATAAACGTGAATTGTTTTACAGTTTCTTTATAAAGAAATATCAAAAATAAATTAATTTTATTTTCAGAACATCTGCGACTGCAGGGGTAGAAGATGCACCCCTATATTGGCCTGTACTGCACAAACTAAGCAACATACAAAGCCAGTGGCCTCAAAACGCGATCGTCTTACCAGGTAAGTTAGCTTGAAATGAATTCAATGTGATCAACATTTTACTCGACTCGTGTAATGTTCCAGGGAACGAAGTGATATTTTCGTTGGAGACTGCAACGAAATACATGAAAAATGACAGAGCAAACATGTACGGGTTCAAATGTCTGGTTATCGGGTACGACTGGATAACATCAGGAAACGGGTTAAAAAATTTAGAAATTGAATTATCATTTCTTGGGGGTGCTTGTGCCGCGAGTCTCATGAAGAGGAATCTCGCCTTACCACCTGTGACTAGTACGTATCTTTTAAATCCACTAGATTCAATTCTACAATTATTATATATTATTTAAAATATATTGTCATTCAACGAATTCGTTTATACCTGTTCAGACGAGGAAGTGGAAGAAGATCTCGAGCAAATGCAGGAAACCGCAAAGAGGATTTTCTCTATGCATTCAACACTGTTTGCCCGGGGATTCGCTCTGGCTTCGCCTCCCACGGTCTCCCAGGCTCTCGACGGTGTTCTTCCATTCAGGTGAGTACCAAATGCATGATTCTACTTAACCTGTAGTTGGTAAACGGATGAAACTAAAAACGATTAGTTTCTTGGCTGGTAACATCACTGTAAAGTCTCGCTACGACCATGAATGGTTGGAAGAGCCGGAAAGAATGAAAGTTTGAAACTTGAACCACTGAGTCTAACAACTGTTCACTAAACAAAATGTTATAATTGACTAACGCTAACTCTTCGGAGTATCGTGCAATGATATCGTGGTGTATCGTCTAAATATATTGCAAGTTTTATCTTTTTAAATTAATATAAATTTTATACGCGCTCACGCTTTAAGAATAGTATCACTGGTTCCATCTAGCGAGTCACTAAAACATAGAGTTGCATTTTGCTACAAGGTGGGGGGCTGTTGTTCGTTTAGTTGGCCACTTCGCCGCTAGATGGCAGTGCCAGTACCATTTTTAGATTTCTCCGAAATAAAAGCACTATAAAACCGTTAATACAAACAGTTTTTTATTGCAAATGTAATACAGTGTGATTGTTTAACATATGTTATCGAAATAATATGTTTATAGTGTGCACAAAAATTCTATTTTTATAGAGGAAAGGAAGAAAAATTTACTTCTTTTAGTACCAACTTTTCACCGCTAGATGGCTAAGCATTTTACTGCCCATGAAATGCACTTTTTTTATTTATCGATATTAAAGCTTCAAAAAATTTACGACGTTGTTTACGTGTACTGTAGCGATCGTATAACAATTTAATTGCACTATCAATATACACAACTCATATTTTTCGAAAAAATACGATTTTTAATTTTGTTAATGTTCCTCGTTTCCGCTAGATGGTAACTGAAACCGTTCTTGAAGCGCGGCGATATAAAATTAAAAAAGCGCTTGCACAATATTTTTGCTCTATTAAGCTGATTATTGTGCAATTGCACTATCTCCTGTCTTACTGTGTAAATTAAAATAATACTTTGAGAGACGAACAGGAGAATAATGAACAATGACTTTAAAACTGAACGGAAGAGTCTTCTCACGATATTTCTGACAAATCGCAGAACAATTGATTATTGTAGATCTAATGAGAAAAATTTACGAATCATAATGATCGTACTACACCTCATTTTACATATAAAATTAGTTTTCGATTTCATCGAGCACAGATTAATCCTCCAAAGGCGTGTTTGCCTTTCCGTTCGCTTTCAAAATCGGTCGTTCGTCATCAAAACGATCGAAATTCGAGCCGTTCAAACAAAAATTCAATGCGTCCACTTATCGTGACCGTATTTCATCCAAACGGACTTCGTGGATCTGTATAAACCCCTCGAAAATACGAGTGCGTTTCTGATAATCAGCGCTGCTTTTGCGTTTCCACGTTTCTGCCCGGTTAAACGTAAATAACCGTCGATCGATCCGGTGAAGCTATCGCAAAACTTTGACGCAAATGCGTGGCGTGTATGCAGATTTCTATTTAGACCCAAGGATAGATAAAAGAAGGCTGTAGGAAACTGTGCTCATCTTGGCTGGTTGGTTCTTCTTCACTTTATTATCTCCTTTCAGGTGTCGAACGATTTCAACGTTCGATGTAAAACAGATCGATACGATCGGTTGTCGTTATATCACAGTCTCATGATAATTACAACTAATCAGTTTTTTTTATTAATCGTCATCGTTTATCGCCGTGGCGCGATAATTATAAGCTCCAGTATTGGTACATTAGTATTACGAACAATTTGCAGTCGATATTCTTGTTCCTTGTACGCATTGATTATTTAAAAGTTTTCAAAGTTAAAATTTTACACATTTGAGAAATTCGGAAATTTCGGGAGGGTAGAGATTTGGGTAGATATATTTTAAGGTTTGGAGATTTGGGGATTTGAATATTTAGGGATTTCGGGTCTGAGGAATCTAGGGATTTGGAAATCTACAAATTTTCTAGGATTTGGAGATATACGGATTTGACGATCCAGGGATTTGGGTATTTAGGGATTGCGGTATCTAGGAATCTTTGGGATCTAGGGATCCTTGGGATCTGGGAATTCTTGGGATCTAGGGATCCTTGGGATCTAGGGATCTTTGGGATCTATGGATCCTTGGGATCTAGGGATCCTTGGAATATAGGGATCCTTGGGATCTAGGAATCCTTGGAATCAGGGGATGATTGGGTTCTAAGGATCTTTGGGATCTAAGGATCCTTGGAATCTAGGGATTCTTGGAATATAAAGATCCTTGGAAACTAGGAATCCTTGGGATCTAGAGATTCTTGGGATCAGGGGATGCTTGGGTTCTAGGGATCCTTGGGATCTAGGGATCCTTGGGATCTGGGGATCCTTGAGATCTAGGGATCCTTGGGATCTAGGGATCCTTGGAAACTAGGAATCCTTGGGATTAGGGGATGCTTGGGTTCTAGGGATCCTTGGAAACTAGGTATCCTTGGGATTAGGGGATGCTTGGGTTCTAGGGATCCTTGGAAACTAGAAATCCTTGGGATCTAGAGATTGTTGGGATCAGGGGATGCTTGGATTCTAGGGATCCTTGGGATCTAGGGATTCGTGGGATACTTGGGATCCTTGGAATCTAGGAATCCTTGGGATCCTTGGAATTTAGGGATCCTTGGGATCTAGGGATTCGTGGGATCTAGGAATTCGTGGGATCTAAGAATTCGTGGAATCTAGGAATTCGTGGGATCTAAGAATTCGTGGGATCTAGAGATTCTTGGGATACTTGAGATCCTTAGGATTCTTGGGATTCTTGGGATCTAGGTATTTGGAGATTTGGAAATTTGTGGACGTTGAGATCTTGTGACTTGACACAAGATCTTGATACAAGAACGTGGAGATCTAGATATTAGAGAATGTAAAGATCTTGAGATCTAAGGAATCGGAAATTCAGAAATCCTGATAATTGGACAATATTATCTACTAGAAAGTCGAAGTATCTTGTACTTACGAAGAGCCTATACTCGACGGTCCAGTACCGTATCAGGCGTACATCCAAGTTTCGTTTGTTTTCGCGCGTTGACTCTAATTGGCCGTGCAGCCCGCGGCACCGGTAGTAGGAAAAGGTCGGTGAATAATCTCGAGAAGGTACGAGGACCAATTTCTGCTGGTCGCCCGGGGGATAAAAGGAAAGAAAAAGGAGGAACGAAGGAGAACGCCGCGCTAGAGTCGTTAGAAGAGCAAGTGGCGGCAGCATCAATAATGCATGGCTCACACGTGCGCGAGATAGCTGCACATGCGGGGGACAAAGCGTCGTTTACGGTACTCCTATTGTACTTTTAGAACACGGCCGGCTCTTCGAACGTCCAACGAATCGCTTCCTCGTTTCTCCAATTCCACGAGATCCTGTTTGCCTTTACATGCGTCAAATTCATTGATACTTTTTTTTATCGGGCAACAGGATGCTATGTATGCTCATTTTATTCGTTATGGGAAGGGTTTGTAGGATGGTGTTTGGAAGGTGATGTAGGAGGATTCATGAGGGTTGACGATCTTAAAGGTGTCTTACAGGTTGATTACTGTCGCGTTCAAATCACGTGGTTACACGTATACGAACAGATTTATGTATGTACATACATGTGGTGTTATTGATATTCTGTGCATGTGCAGCACGTGACGTCCGACATTATAGCAATATGGGTCTTGTCTCTCTACTGGTGTAATTATTTTGTCTCACTCAACTTATGGTTAATCTTAGAAGTGTTACAGTAAATCAAATGTTAGATATGTTCAGGTAAATTCAATTTTATGAATGCTCAAGTAAATTAAATTTTAGAAATGCTCAGGTAAATCAAATTTTATGAATGATTAAGTAATTTAAATTTTGGAAATGTTCAGGTAAATTAAACGTTAAAAATGTTCAGGCAAATTAAATGTTAAAAATGTTCAGGTAAATTCAATTTTAGAAATGTTCAGGTAAATTAAATATTACAAATGTTCAGGTAAATTAAATGTTAAAAATGTTCAGGTAAATTAAATTTTAGAAATGTTCAGGTAAATTAAATATTATAAATGTTCAGGTAAGTTCAATTTTAGAAATGTTCAGGTAAATTAAATATTATAAATGTTCAGGTAAGTTCAATTTTAGAAATGTTCAGGTAAATTAAATATTATAAATGTTCAGGTAAGTTCAATTTTAGAAATGTTCAGGTAAATTAAATATTATAAATGTTCAGGTAAGTTCAATTTTAGAAATGTTCAGGTAAATTAAAAGTTACAAATGTCCATATAAATTAAATGTTAGAAATGTTCAGGTAAATAACAGAAATTATAAAGTGAATTAAATGGTAGAATGTTAAGGTAAATTAAATAGTAGGAATGTTACAGGTAGATTACTAAAAAAGAGAGGGTATCTTGGACTATATTTAATACCGTTCTGAAAGCCGGATAGATTTATATTGTTTTGAAAATGTGAAATCGCTGGGCACGAGTTAAAAGTGCTGTATAATTACAGGAAACTGAGGAAGTAATAAATATGCAAAATTACAGCGTGGAGCTTTCGGAAATAACAGAGAAATTCGCGTTTAAAGGTTTTAAATTGCTACTTAAACGCTTGAGTCGTATTAAATGCACACAATTCACTTTCAACGTTCAGTAATTTTATCGAAGCGAAAAGACTGGAAAAGCTTCGCGATTTTAACTGAAATATTTATCGGCGAAAATAAAATTTTACCTGTTTAGCGAATCAACAGTTTCCTCTTGAAATTTTGTTGATCAAGTAACGAGTCGCGTTTATTTTGTTTAATTCTTTAGAGATAAGGGGTTTCATTGTACGTCCGTCAACAAAGCAGAAAGATTGGAAAAATGGCACGTTTCCGATATTTTTGTTCACTTTTTTCGGTTCGAGAGGCTTTACAGTTTCTATTTACACGCGAGATTCACCGATGTTCGTATGGAAATTTGGAATCTGGGTTTCGAGGAAAAATTTGACAATTTAGGAATACAGGAATTTTAGATTTTGGGAATTCAGAGATTCGGAAATTTTGGAGTTTGAAAATTTCAGAGTTTATAGATTTGTGG